AAATGGATGGATGAATGAATGAATGAATGAATGGATGGTTGTATGCATGAATGAACGAATGAATGAATGAATGGATGAATGAATGAATGAAATGAATGAAATCAATGAATGAATGACATGAAATGAAATGAAATGGAATGAACAGAAACGAATGAATGAATGAATGAATGAAATGAAATGAATGAATGAATGAATAGAATGAAATGAAATGAATGAATGAATTGTGTGTGTGATATGATATGAGTGACGTGAGTGACTGAAGGAATGAATGAATGAATGCATGAATGCATGAAAGCATGAATGCAAGAGTGCATGAACGAATGACTGTTGAATGGTTGAATGGTTGAATGATTGAATGGTTGAATGGTTGAATGGTTGAATAAATGAATGAATGAATGAATGAATGAATTAATGAATGAATGAATGAATGGATGGATGGATGGATGGATGGATGGATGAATGAATGAATGAATGAATGAATGAATGCATGAATGCATGAAAGCATGAATGCAAGAGTGCATGAACGAATGACTGTTGAATGGTTGAATGGTTGAATGATTGAATGGTTGAATGGTTGAATGGTTGAATAAATGAATGAATGAATGAATGAATGAATTAATGAATGAATGAATGAATGGATGGATGGATGGATGGATGGATGGATGAATGAATGAATGAATGAATGAATGAATGCATGAATGCATGAAAGCATGAATGCAAGAGTGCATGAACGAATGACTGTTGAATGGTTGAATGGTTGAATGATTGAATGGTTGAATGGTTGAATGGTTGAATAAATGAATCAATGAATGAATGAATGAATGAATGAATGAATTAATGAATGAATGAATGAATGGATGGATGGATGGATGGATGGATGAATGAATGAATGAATGAATGAATGAATGAATGAATGAAAGCAGTCATCAAGCAGTCATTTATGTATTTCTCTGTGTATCTAGTTGTTGTTGTTGTATGTTTTATCTGTTTGTTTATGTATTTATTTTACTGTGTTTGTTAGTGTCTATATGTATATATGTGTTTATTCAATTTGTTGTTTGCTGTGTAGTTGCTTAGTTACTAGTTAGCTAGCTAGTCAGCGTGATATTTGCCGACTATGTAATGGATCATGCTAGTAATGATCGTTATGCTCAAATGTTGTTCATTCGTTTGTTGGTTCATTCGTTCATTCATTCATTCATTCATTCATTCATTCATTCATTGATTCATTGATTCATTGATTCATTGATTCATTCATTCATTCATTCATTCATTCATTCATTCATTCATTCATTCATTTGTTCACTCGTTCATTCGTTCATTCATTCATTCATTCATTCATTCATTGATTCATTCATTCATTCATTCATTCATTCATTCATTCATTCATTTGTTCACTCGTTCATTCGTTCATTCATTCATTCATTCATTCATTCATTCATACATTCATTCATTCATTCATTCATTCATTCATTCATTCATTCATTTGTTCACTCGTTCATTCGTTCATTCATTCATTCATTCATTCATTGATTCATTCATTCATTCATTCATTCATTCATTCATTCATTTGTTCACTCGTTCATTCGTTCATTCATTCATTCATTCATTCATACATTCATTCATTCATTCATTCATTCAGTCATTCATTCATTCATTAATTCATTAATTAGTCAATTCATTCATTCATAATGACTGACTGGCTGACTGACTGAACAAACGAACAAACCAATGGATGAGCTGCGGGGTGAGCATTTCTGCCTAAATCCTAAAGCTCAATGGTTCTTCTGCGTTTTGGCAAAGGGTCCACTTGTTTGGGCAACCTCCAAGTAGAATTAAACCCAAGCCCCGTGGGAACAACGTTCTGCCACGGAATTCGAAGCAATGCAACGCAGAAGTTCCACATCCCCTAGTTGTTGTTCCAAGGCTCCCGTAAAACTTATTACCCGTTTGGAATTGGAGGAGTGGAGCTGCTGTTAATTCATTCATGCTAAAGCTGATGTCTGCCAAGCGTGTTGGCTTGCATACAGCATCTGCTCGCTACTTTGCTTTAGCGGTGTATGTCAAACACCCTCAAAAGCAACAAAAAATGGTTGATTCATCCGGGCCAACACTAGGAATTGAAGGATCCATCCAAACACCACCTGCTGTTCAAGAAATTCAGCTAGTCGAATGACTGGCCCAACTGGGGACCCTGTTGAATGTCCCCTTCAAACATCACCCCACCTTTCAGGAAACACAAGTACACAGTGTCCATGTGAATTGAATTCTGGCCATTTCTGGGGAACATCATCCCCGTAAAACCTACCGGCTGTGACACCCAATAAACATTTCAAGAGCATTACCCGGTCCTAACATAGGCGATGCCAGTAACATCTCAACTGCCCTAAGCCCAGCCATTTCTGATGAGCCACGAACCCTGCATACAAAACAAAACCGATTCTCCGATTTTTCAAGCCGAGCCGCGGTTTTCAACGGGCTTGTGGTTGGTTTACGCCCAATAATTGCAGATTGTTCCCTCTGGGTCAACATCGGGAACCCTTGGGTCCACCCGTCACAATTGAGCTCTCCTCGTCGTCCCTTAGCTCCACCGCGACGTGCTGCAGTGCCCGGCCGTTCCGCTGCACGGCAGCAAGGGCCTGAGTTGGTAGGGCTTGCTAGGTTTCCACTGCACCGCACTTAAAGGAAACTCAGCCCACACAGGCGAAATCTGGCCTGCGGGTTGCGAACTTGTTCGAGGGTTTGAACATCATTTAGCTGGGCGTTTATCAAATTTTGTGGACAAACCAGTTTGAGGAGGCTCCCCTTTTAAGATTCGCAGCTATGATGCCACATTGAAAACAACCCCGCTCGAGGGAAACTCACTTTCACCAGCCGCTGTGGCATTGAAAATGCTACCCAGTTATGTAAAGAATGAAAAGGGGCGCATATCCGCACCTATTCACCTCCCTATACAGACTATGTAACGTGGAAGCCAAAAACCATCATTTCATATAACGGACAACTCCTGTTGATAGACCCCCGTTTGTGGGCTTCATTTTACTTTGCAGGTTGGTGTTGATTGTGGCTCTGCAGCCCATTCTAATAAACCCTTGACATTTGACATCATCTCGGAGGAGATCCAAGCATGGAATTGTTGTAAATGGAGCCCAGACGGATCTGAATCCCTGCGCAGATCATGATAAAGGAAAACCCAACCGCAGTAGGCAAATCATTATGATTCCCAAATCTAATCTAAGGTTTTTCCACTACCCTTAGACCACTACTTATCCCTGGCCACTATGTAAATTGTATATACTGTAACCATTTTGCCCTGGCCCCATGGAAACAATCTTAGGGACCTTCATGGGTGACCGCCTGCGCTAGCCCCGGTCCACTAAGAAGTACAGTAGCCCTTCGGCCATTTGAGGAACCAGCAAGGTTATGAGTTTCACGGGCCGTACCAAAACCTGCAAAGCAGACAACTGGCCAATACACGCTTTTGGCTGCTCGATTGATGGCAAGCCCTGATCATGATCAGCTGGCTAGCATGGCCTCTTCAAAAAAACAATTAAAAGGGAACCCAGTCACAACCAACCCTGGCCTCCTATCCGCCATCGCAGACAGTTTTGGTTGAACAAATTGCAGATCAGTCATGCGTCGCTTTCAGAAGGCACACAGTCCCTTCGCGAAGCACTTCATGCGCGGAATGCTTGCCCAAACGTGTTGTGTTGCTTGCACGCTTGTCTTTTGGTCTGCTTCTGTTCATGTTGAAATGTGGGCTGCAATACCTACAGCAAGAAACGCAGATACAGCTGGCTGCCAACATTGTTTTGATATGTTCCTGGAAACGTAATTAGTCGGTGGAAAGGTGGTGTACACAAGTTCCCTTCCACGTGTTGTTTTTCCGACATGCCCGGCAAAGAGTCTCAAGTGAACGCAGCCCCGAGTAAAGCAGCTACATCATGGTGAGCTGCATCATAGTGAGCTCCTTTTAGAACCCCTAGCTGAGCTCAAAATGGAAACGAATGCAATTCATGCGCAGCCTGCACCACCCAAAATGCTGTTGCACCGCATCGGAAGCGCAGAAACCCCTTGAAGCCCTCAGAGTGTATTGGGGAGCCTTTCATTAGTAAGGGGCTCGACACCCATAGACGGTCCCCTCCTTCGCTCGGGCCCAAGAAAACACAAAAACTATCAAGCTGATTTTGATGGGTTCTTGGATGCATCCTTCGGACCCGGTTTTGTTCTCGCCCCGCGCTCCCGTGATTTTTTCGAAGCGTCGATGTCTTTGTCCCCCAGGAGCTGCTGGTCTGCAAAGCCTGGGCGCTCGCAAGGGAACCTGCACGCCAGTCAACTGGGAAGTGATGGGAAGATGACCAGGTCAGGTCGGCAGTGCGCTCCAGCTTTGCTGCCGCATGGGGAAAGGCTTGGCTTCGGAGGCAAATCTTTCAGCTTGTGCAGCTTGCAGAGTTATCTGGAAAGCCCATTGCCAAAGCCCATGCTTGGCAAAGGGGCCAACATCCAACATTTTGAAGGCGAGCCCACAACCAAAGCTTCAAGACTTGTCCGTCAAGTTGTTGGTTCTCCGGGGGCAACCCTACAACGAGCTGTTGTTGTTTGCATGGTGCGAGATGTTCCCCGGGCCGATGTTCGAGTCTATCTCGTGCCCCTCCTGAGCCAGCTGCCTTACCGTGGAACTAAGGGAATAAGGGAAGTCGGAAGTTTAAATGGCGGCTGGTTGAAACCCTTTTCGCGGAACCAGCCTGACTTCACGTGGATCCTCATGTTCTGCAATTAAATCAATCATCGGGGCGGGCCGTATGAAACATTATGAAACCATGCAAACCAGAATCCACACACTAATCATGAGGGCCTTGATGGTATACGCCAGCTTCCCTTCTCATAAGCCGAGACAAGCAACGACACATGATTGAAACATATCACTGGAACGGGTGTGGACTTCCCTATGTGTTAAGTCTTGGCCCATGGGTGACAAACCTAAGGCTAAGAACCAAGAGGGCTCCCATAGGGCTACGTACGCTTCCTGAAGTACCACCCCAAGCGGAAACTCATCCAAAAGTTGTCCAAAGATGAAAAAAACAAAACGTGCTGAACAAACAAAAGGTGCCAAGCAGCGCAAAGCGTCGCCATCGGCACGAACAGCCTCAAGCACAACTTCCTGGCAGGCCAACTTTCCAAGGGGCACCTAGGTTTCCAAAACAGGATGGAACCCCAGAGTAAGCACAACCGCCCTTTACTGGGGGTTCTTCACTTACGGAGAAAAAAACGCACCCTATAAAAACAGGACGGGTTTTGTAATCCGGGTTCCGGGGACAACATGATTTCCTGCCGCATGAATTTCTTGACCAAGAATTAATCATCCCTGTTTGAGTTTGTGGGTGGTCCCATCAAAAAGAAAGGGTCTAAAAGGCAAACCCTGGTTTCTAACATCTGATTTGCTAGCAATCAAAAAACAGAACCACCTCTCAAGAACACCGACGCAAACCGAAAAGCCTCCCAACCCTCTCAGGCAAATTTCTTGGGTGACAAAGCAAAGGAATGTGCACACACGTGGTTTTGGTTGCAAAGTTGAATGATCGAATCCGGACTTATTAAGCTGTCCAACCCTTGGTACGGTAGCCAAAAACGTTGTTTCTTGCAGCCACCCACTAGAAATGAGCAGAACCAAAAAAACTAAAAACATGCCACCCACATCCAACAACAGTCATGTAAGCTGATCTGACACTCTCAAAACTACCTCTGGAAATCGAGCACCCCGCCCCTGCACAAGCATGTGAACTACAAAAGGAGCTGGGCCGCAAACGGTACAGCGCTGCTGCCACAGCCTGTGTGTGACAAGCCAGCTATGGGTAATTAAATGCCACAAACAATGAAACGGAAAAAAAAGAAGGGAAAACAGATTCAGCTTGATTGACCAGCAAAAACAACATTGGCCCTGGAGCATGAACCAAACCTTTCAGACCGTTTGGTCCTTGTCGCGCTTCAGCTCGTCTGACACGAACATCAAGGCGCTCCCGTCTGCCCGCACAGCTTTCAAGGCCACCTGCCGAATGGGAATGTCCCCGACGGCCTTCAATCCCGCGAGCTGTGGTGAAGCGTGCACTGGTCCAAACGCTCAGAACTTGTAGCAGCCTTCCGAACACGGTCGGTGGGACCTACTAGTTCAATCCCCCTGGTCAACAAGACGACTTTCATGTGTTCTGGCCACCACCAAAAAACAAGCAGAACACATTTAAGAAGTTCAAATGCTTGAGCGTCTTGTATTGAACTCGACACATGAGAGACACTCGGAAACCGATGCCTCCTTGTCGTTCTTCAAGGCCGGCACCGCGTGAATCAGAGCTCTGCCATCAAGCTCCACGGACTGGGTCACCTAAGCGCGAGATGAATTCGAGCTTCAAAGATCCGGGCCCCACACAAGTTTCGGATGCTCCACAAGCTATGTTTCGATCATGCTTCACATTTTCAGATGTTCTAGGGCAGTGAAATTGGTCACTGGGGGCCGTCACTGCGCCGTCGTTGCAATGCTTGTCCCAGCCCTGATTTTAAAAACGCAAGCCGCACCACAAATAAGCTCAGGTGAGATCCCCAACAGCATGCGGGCTCTCTTTGGTGCTCGGACCACCCCGGAGTCTATCTGGGCTGAGACCCCAAACCTTTCAGCTGTTGGGGAAAAAGAAGACATGCACCACTGCGTGCCTGTGTCGCCAGGCGGCTGTTGCCTTGGAGTACGGGTCCTCGATCACCTGACAGAACTTGCCCCGACCCACTCGCTATGCTCAGGTCACGCGGGCCCGGCATGAATGGATGACTTGCGATTAAACGTGCGCACCCCTTCAAAGGAAAGCGGACATCTACAACCTCGCGTTCGCCCCAACCAGAATGTGCGTTGACTCAATGTGCTATTTGCTGAAACTGTGAATGCTAAACAGATGATTCAAACGCAATGAACGAAGCAAGGGCAACTGCGAGAAACGCACTGGGTCACGCCATTTTGGTTTCCGCTTGACTTCCGTTTTTCATTGATTTTCCCTTGGTCACTCTATAAAGCAACAGAAAAGCGGCACCATCCATTCATTTGGTTTCCCAGAGAAGGTGCAGCAGATCCCAAACAGCGCCTGCACAGCGGGGACGCCCCAAATCTTCGGGTTGATGCCCGGTGCCAGCAAGTCTTCCCCATCATCCTGCACGGTGTGGCTCTGCTATGGGCGTGGCTGCGCAGTTTTTATTTTTATTTTTTGTTTTTCTTCGAAAAGGCTTGACGGACCTGCAAAGGGCTAACCTGGGAGCCCGACTGAAAGCGTAAATCGAAAACGCGGAAAAAAACAATCCGCTCTTGACAACTGTTCCGAGCAAAAAAACACATTCCCACAAATGGCCTTAATCACCCGGAAAAGGGCACGCAATCAGATTGAAATTGCGGAGGGACAATTTTTTCAAAACGGAACCTTTTAAAATAACTGCACAACACACCAACCTCGCACACGGATCCCAGACGTGCTCGCTCCTGATAAGGGTTCGAATACCTCCGTGATGACCGTGACGCGGGCGTTGCTGCTCGTGACATCGAAAGACCCCGGCTGCGAAACAAATGCTTCGTGCGGAGAAACAATACAGCTTTACTGTGTATCCACAACCTGGATGAAAAAGCGGCAATAAAGCAAACATACCAATGGTTTGCCTTGTGTGTTTTCTGACGTGTGTTTGCGTGCCGTTGCAAAACCGCGAGCAACTAGCAACTGCATGACCCGAGTTTGCAGGGAGCAAGCCTCCTGCACCACCCAGTGATACAGAAAAACCGTCCACCCTTTGTTGGACACATTTTGAATAGGTCTACCTTTTTTTCTTGGGAGGAGGTACTCCTGACTTTTGCAATTTTTTTGCAATTGCTTTCGTTCCTTGACGCCGGAATGCTGCTGGCGCGGATGTCTTTTATTGCATTTGCAAATGTGCAGCGCCGGTGACCATCCAGGCAATCTGTTTTGTTTTGTTTTTTCAGTCTGTATGTGTTATACGTTGGCTTAGCAAACGTTGCTTGTGCTCAACTCGTTGCAGCAGCTGGTAAATTCCAAGCATCGCGCAACCAATCCAGGCTTGATCCGAACTAAGTCTTACCCAACCAGGCGATCATTGGCAGCCACGCCATTGTGCCGCCAGTGGCTGACAAACGGACGGCGTATCCCCCACGCCCCGGCGACAGCCGGGCCCGCCGGGCCATACGGTAGGAAAGGCAGCCCCCGTCACTCCCGCCGGGCTCCTGCACGCGAGCGACCGCAAGAAGATGGGGAGGATGCTTGCCCAGTGTGCATCTGCAGCATCGGCCCGGCAGCGAGTGGACCGGACACAGTGTTTGTGTGGCCATCTTGCGGGCATCCCTTACATCTCAGCTGTTTCGCGCATATAGGAACGACGCATCTTTTGCCCTATTCGTCGGTCCGGGTGGCTGATGTGGCCCAACAGCGAGGCTGTGTTGCCACCACCGAAGACGCTCCTACCTCGGCCAGCCCGGCTGTGCTAGGTGTGCCTGTGGGTTCAGATGCTTTTGTGCGAGCCCAGCTCCTGCAATCCCGGACTAGCCACGATGCGCTTTTTTCAGCGCCTGCCGGAACTTGAGGACCTCCAAGCCTGCAACCTTGCTTGGCCGCGACGGCACTCCCGACCCAGCCTGCGCCATCGCTTTGTTGCCATTGTGTTTGGGGAAGTTGGGGCTGCATTCAGCGCAGCGCACAGCAGCCTCAGCCTGTGGGCCGACTGTTTGCGCCGGCCCCCGGAGGAGTTGCAAGCTGCGGGCCGCCCGACTGGCCACAGCAGCTGGTCGGCCAGCAGTTCGCGCCACCGGCCTTGCAACGCCCCAGCAATGCTCTGCGTGGCTGGCTGTGTGAAGCTGCGCACGCCGTGCTAGCCCACTGCCAGGAAGTCTTGCTTGGAGGCTTGGATCCGGCTGGCCAAGCCATTTTTTTTTACACACGCCTTTTTCCGTCCAGCGGCAGTGAGACCCAGGGAACCCTCAACCCCCCCCCCCCCCACCCGAAACGGCCGCCGAGAAAAGCGAACGAAGCGCGCGCGCGCACCGACGTGGCGACGAGCCGCGCAAAGGCAGAAGGCTGGGCCCGGACGGCCAGCCAAAGCAAGGACATCGGCGAGGTCGGGCTCGCCTTGCGCAGCCGGCCGCGTGGGGGAAAGCCAACGCCCTCCGAGCAGAGTGGAAGCGAGGGCGCGCTGCAAGGCGGCGCTGCGCAGTGCCCACCACCTGCGGCGCCAGCCCGCCTCGGCCGCGCGGCGGACGGCTGGAGGCGCGCGGAGTGCCCGGAGGCGCACCAAGCGATCAACTAAGCCGCACGCCTCGGGGCCCCACCGCCCGCCCGTTTCACAAGCAAGAACGACCAGCCGCTGCGGGCCAGGCCGGCAAAGCTCCGGGTACCGCGCCTCCTTGCGGCGCCACGCTACCGCAATGGCTGCGCCGTCCTCCGAGCGTGGCGTCGCAGCACAGCGCTTCGCCCAAGCGCGTGGCGCCGTAAAGAACAAGATCCAGGCGGCGCCTGTCTTGCGCACTGACGCCTGGCGCAGAAGTGTTGGCCAACCACTGTGTGCCCTCGGGCCCCAGACCTTCACGCGCGACGCGGACCCACGCTCTGTCCGCTGCGCGGGCACGCTGCCGCATTGTCGCCCAAGACATTTTTATTTTATTTTTCGCGCGCCTTTTCTCCATCGCCTTGCTTCATCCCCCCGAAAACCCTGCTTAAGGGGAGCCGCCGGGCACGGGAGGAGACGAACCGGCACCTCTCGCGCCTTGGCTCGCGCGAGGGCGCGCACAAAGGAGGCGGCCTCGTCACTCCACCGGCCCCCGACCTCGACGGCCAAGACAACCAAGCGGCAGCGCTCCGAGCGGAGCAGCTCCGGGTATGTCCGCTCTTTGCGGCGGCGTGCAAGGGCAAGGGCGGCGCCTTGAACACGACCACCCCGGCGGCAGGGCTGCCCCGAGCCGGACAAGGGAGATACTAACGTGGTGTCCACGGCGAGCTGCTGCCCGCCCCACAACGGCAAGCCGTTGGCAACCTCAAGCCGCCGGTCGTCGACACGATCGACCTGGAGACTTGCAACACCTGTTGCAAGTCACCCTCGCCCCGCCCTCGCGGCACACTCGCGCGGCGGCCCGCTCGAGAGGGCACCCGCGGCTCCGGAGGACACCGGCCCGAGCACAGGCTGCGCGGTGGTCGCCGAGGGAGTCCAAAGGGCGACGACACCGGCAGTAGCGCTGGGAAAGTGGCAGCGGAAGGCGCAGGCGCCTGAGAAGGAGGACGCGGAACAAGTGGGAAGGATAGGACAGGGCGGGGCATGTGGGCACGGTGGTCAAAAAGCGGCTGGCGAAGGGGCCCTGCAAGGCATCGCTGGATGGGTCCAAGGTGGAGAGCAGCTGCTCACACTGGCGGCGGGCAACAGCTGATGCCGCGGCCCCTTGCCATCCGCGAGCGAAGGTGGAGGGCCCGTCTTCCTGCAAGGTCGGCGCCGGCACACCGTCACAGAGCTCACGCCAGCTCGGGGGAGTCCAATCCGCCAGGCTGAGCTCGGCGCGTGTTGTGGCAGCAGGCGGCAAGTGCTGACCGAGGACAGGCAAGCAATCCGCCCAAGACGCCCAATACGCAGAGACAGAAGTCTGAGCAGCAGACACCAAGCCAAGGCCACCCAGCGACCAACTGGGCGATCCGTCGAGCACGGTCGGGAAGGCCATCCACGCCAAGAAAGTCCGCAAAGGTGGCAGAACAGCCGAGTCGTGGGTGCCGGCGTACTCGGCCGTACCCGACGGGGGGAGCATCCGGAGAAGGTAGTTGCAGGGGGAGCAGCAAAAGAGTAGCACCCAGAGGCTTGCAAGTCATCAAACTCGGGCAAACGCTGCAGGAGCTGGTCATGGCCGGCTCGCGACACCTGAAGCTGAGTCCGGACAAAAGTAGCAGAGCCAAAGGGGACCCCAAGAACAGTAAGCCCTTGCTCTGCATCCGGCAAGGGACCAGCGCCAACCCAACAGGACAAGTCCGGCATCCCGGGCTGGCCAAGATCCCGGGGCGCTTGGCCCGCCGCGTTGCACGTGGCAGTGCGCTTCAAGCTGGTGGGCCAGGGTGCCATGCACATGTCCAACCCGGTCCGGCCGGCGGACTACAGCGTAGACATCGTCCAAAAAGGCTACCAAGGTTTCCTCACGCAAATGCCCGCGGGCTCGGAGTAAAACATCCGGACAAACGGGAGACACTCGTTTGCCCCCGGCACGCCAAGCAGGCCCTGCAACATGGACTGGCGACTCATAGTATCGAAAGCACCGATCCCGTCGACCGAGACAATGGTCGCCTCCAGGTTGAGCTCCAAAGCGGCCGCAAGGAAGGGGCGGCAAGCCACTTGGAGGGTTTCGGCCTTTTGCTGGGCAAAAACATGGGCGACCAAGTCACCAACAACAATGCCACGGATCCGGCCGTTGGGCTTGCGCAAAGCGATGAGCCGCCCGAGCCCGAGTGCTCTGGCTGCATCACGGGGAATGCGGGCTTGAGCAACAAGTTGCAGCACACGAACAAACTGGTCGGACAGCTGTTAGCCCGGAAGGTCCAGGGGCAGGGCTGCTGCTGCTGCGGCTGCGGCCGTCGCCGCCGCCGTTGGGCCCATCGGGGCTGGGAGGCGCGGGTCGCACCTGAGGCTCGCGGGGGGGCTCTTGCGCAGCAGGCGTGCCAGGGTGGCGTGGGGCGGGAACAATTGGTTTTTCGTCCCGCTTTTGCACGCTGGCGCCGGCGCCTTGCGTTCGGATGCGGCGGCCCAGTGGGAGGCACCCTTTCTTCGGCCACCTTTGGCGTGGAGGGCTCCTGGACTTCTTTTGCGCCCCGCCGATTGCATGCGAGGCCTTGCTCCACGTGCTACAGTCCCAGCAGGACTTAGCCCGCCAGGATGGCCGACAGCTTTCTCTGTCGGAAGCCTCCCTGCCACGCACCATCGCGGCAGCTCGATCCGCGTTGCCACAAGGCTCTGCCGTTTTCCTTGCTTGTTGCTGTTCCTCGGTGAGCGGCGGTCTGCCGAGATCGCGGCAGCGGCCGACCGTTTTCGTTCTGCACAGCCTGCCCGGGGCCGTGGAGCGCCCGCAGCACCTTCGGCACCACCTGCTCTGCCCCTCCCCACCGGCCACGCTGGGCAACCAGGGGGCGCTGAATCGCGGGGCGGGCCGCGGGAAATCCAAGCGGTTGCCGCTGCTGCGCCCGTGGCATGAGGCGCGGGTGGAGCCGGGCTTGGGGAATGAGGGGCTGCGCCGGGCTGCGCCTCGGGCTCCGGGGGCGGCGTAGAAGCCAGACTGGTGGGAAGCATTTCCAGTGGACAAGGGAGAAGGAAGGGCGGGTGGCCACGAGATCCACCCTCGCTGCCGGGACGGGACATCAACGGCAAAGACCCGAGGAGCACAAAAAGGAGGAGACGGCACTCCCTGCAGGAGAGGGTCCTGCATGGTGAGGCAAAACCCGCAACGAACACAATTCCATTCAGGATCCCACCGGCCCTCCGTGGGACGGTGGACAGGAGCCCAGGCCATGTGTCGGGAAGGTAGCTCGACCCAGGCGTGCCAAGATTCGGGGCGAGACCCGCCAACGCGAGATGCTGGCAGCACAACGCGAC